CTTCTCCAGAATCCAGATGCCCTCCCTCTCCCTGGCCGTTCAATTAGGGGCGCATTTTGGTGCGTTTGTGGGGGGTGGTGAGAAGACGTCCGAAAGCCCAAAAAATGGCCGCCTCATCGGCCATCTTGGGCAAAAAGAATAGCTGGGCGAGCTGGACCCTTCCGGATTTTTTGCCCGGCCGGAGGTCCGGCAAGCCGAGATTTGGCTGCCCAATCAGCTGGACGGGCCTCAGTTTTCAGCTCGTGTGGAGCCTTTAGGAAGTATCGAAGCAGAAACCTAAGCCTAAGCCTAAGCCTAAGCCTAGGCTTCAGCTGGAGCCTAAGCTAAGCTAAACCTACGCCTAACCTAAGCGTAAGCTGTTCAGTTCTACCAACGACATTTCCAAACTCTTTACGAGTTTTCTTAGTCCATCCGAAACTCGAGCTTATCTTGGTTCCCTTCTTCCCCCTTCTTCCGGCTGATGAATTTTCGAATTCAGTTAGGCCCCGGGGTCCGGGGAGCATGGCATAATAATGCAGAATAGGAGAGGCGAAGAAGAGGCTGGGGGATGGGTTTATGGGCGTCTATTGGATTAGTTCGTACCGAGGGCCCTCTTAATATTTAGATATTATGGTTTTTTCCTCACACCCTAAGATTTCCCCTTCAGAATAGAGCCTGAGAAGTCCGAAATTCCTGCTCTCTCTCTCTCTCTCTCTCTCTCTCTCTCTCTGCCTCTCTCTCCCTCACTTCTCTATTAAATTCAATTCTTCAGAGTCCACAATGTCTACCAACTCATGCTCCCCCTCTTCAACAGCTGATGATCTACTCGACGATCGCCAGCGCATGAAATTTGAGTTCCTCTTCCAACACACCGCACCTCCACCCCGAGAAGCAGCTTCTTCTTCTGGTACTCCCAGGAGACATTCGCGCACGCACCGAATTGTTCGGGTAAGCGGGTTTTTAGTTATCTCTCTCCCTTTCTCTCTCACTCTCTCTCTCGCACTCTCTCTTACCCTCTCCAGCTCTCTCTTTTTCTGTACTTCAAAAACACATCATATCCAGACAAAAAAATTGCACCCGTCTGGGAGATGTTTGGGCGCTTCGTGAGAAATACGGAGCAGAGAACTGGGCAACGATACATGATAAAAAATTGTGTTGCAACTGATCTCCGCTAGCCTCCCTTGCCCCCAAAAAATTAAATTACCATTAAGTAAAAAAGGTTAAAAAAGCATCTTAATGATGGTTACGTTATACTTTCTAACTAATATTTCAGCTTCTTCTGCTCGCTGAGGTGGCCTACTCGATGCTTGCCATCGGCCTAATCTCGCTATCCATCACGATTTCGCGGACGATTAGCGACGGGCCGCCAGTCCTCCACCATGGATCCACAATGGCGGTGGGTGAATTTCCGGGTCGAATAGATAGTGAGAGTGAGAGAGTGAGAGAGAGAGAGGGAAAGAGAGAGAGAGAGAGAGAGAGAGAGAGAGAGAGAAAGGGAGAGTGAGAGAGAGCGAGACAGATCGAGAGAGAGCGCGAGATAGAGAGCGAGATGGAAAGAGAGATATTATGCCTAGAATTACATGAAAATTTTAGTTACTACCCCGAGTCGCCCTGTGCTTCATCTTGACGGTGAACGTTTTGACCGCATTAAATGTATGCTGCCGAATGCAGGATGGGAGGAGGTATGTTTTTCTATTAAATTTTTGTTCAGTCCCTATTAACTTCACATACCTAAATCTAAAAGCGCATTTTATCACGTTGCCGGCCCCCTGAAACGATCTTGTTTTGCCCCAAAATTTCACAAAACCATCTTTCTTTCTTGCGCTCTTTCCGACGCTCATCTAATTCGATTATTCGGGTTTATTGGGGTGCCCCAGCTGCAAAATAGGCGACCAAGGATCCGAAAAGCTTTTTCTTAGTGCTCGTACTTCTGCAAAAAAACCGTTTTCCTCTAGAGCTGCATATTTATGAAGGTTGTGCAAAAATAGCTCGGCGCCGCGTTATTAATAGCGGAGCGTCACGGAATCGGGAAATTGTTCAAAAAAAATGGAAGCACGGTAGCAGGGAGAAAATTAGGGCTATTTTTGCAAAAACCTGGAAGTGAAGTTGGTTTTGAAAAAGCAGGAAACATGATTTTACAAAAGTCATTTTTGAAAATCTGGAATAATCTGGAATAATGATAATCCCCTGGAAATCATAAATTTAGTTCAGTGAGAAGCACCGCGTTTTTAATTGCTAAATTAAATGTGAATAAATCAAAATTCCAGCCGAAAATGTTTACTATCTCAAAAAACACTCTGAATTTTAGTTGCGCCTCCACCCTAATGATCCACGTCATCTGGAAAATCATCCTCGCCATGGTGCTGATGCCTACCGTGACCCTATTCTCGTTTATTCGATTTGAAGTGGGTCCTATTCAAAATAATTTACTGAATTTTATAAACTTGCTGAAACTCTAAATTTCTATTTATTTTTTTTAGGAATACATGCACTCATGGCCCTCAAAGTGGATCGGAGCGAAAGTGCTCGTTTTGATGTGGTTGTATGCTGTATTTTCGGTGTTTTCAATAGGTAAGTTCGTCTATCTTTCTCTCTCGCTCGCTCTCTCTCTCTCTTTCTTTCTCTTTCTCGGTTTCTTACTCTTGCTCTCTCTCTTTTTTCAATTTCGCTTTTTTTAGTACTCCTCTCCACCCTAGCGCGCGGAATGTGGGCCAAAAAAGCGCGGTGCCGCCGCAACAGCGTCGACAGCAAAATTAGCATAATTGGTGGGTGACGTTCAGAGTATAATTGTGGAAAGCGTTTCCTTTTCTGAAAGTGCAAATCAAGTAATTTGCCTGTTTCTTTAGGAGCAACAGCCAACTCCAATTCCGAGCTTGCCACCCTGTCTTCAGCCGATTTGCTACCACAAGCTTAAAAAATTCCGAGGAACGCCAATTTACGGATTTGTCAAGAAAAAATTGAAAAATCGGGACCAACACAATGATCTCGCTTCCTATTTTTTTCATTGTAATTTTTCGTGTTGAATTCAGTGTGGCCTGAATCGAACAAATTAGCTTCAGTCTTCACAACGACGAGATTTTCCGACCCTCTCTATTGTTTTTGAAAATTGCTCAATGTGCATAAATGGCTTAAGAAACGTATCGTATTACTGCGAATAGCGTGCATTCAAGGCGGCTGCAAAGATTATAAAACTACCGAGCTATTTTTAGGCAATCTAGCAGATACTTTCGAAAAATGGGAAAAAGCTATTGCAGCGTATAGCAGTTCCGAAACGTTCTAGCCTAATTTCAACTAATTCCGACAAAAAATGGGCATCTAGTTTGCAGGAGCATGGCAAGCTAGCAGAGGATTTTGGAGGACCTTAGAAAAAAATAGATTTCCAATCCGATCCAAGAGAAATATAAAATTTATCACGAAGATTGTTGCTAATTTCCCATCCTTTGAAGTCTGTATTGACATGTAACCCAAAAATATCGCTATTTTTCGAATTATTTGGTTATTTGAAACATCCAATGCTAATTTTAGAAATTAATATTGTTTAAGCGTCAACAGTTCCAAAGCCAAAATAAAATTTGCTCCCGGGTTTGCAAATTTTAATTTGCAAACGATGCCGCATCACCGGTCCTTTTCCGGCATCCCAAAATATGGCAATTTGTCAGCCTCATAGCGTTACGATAGCTCTACAACCGCTTTAATCTAAGCGCTCCTAGAAATCTGGGCAATTCCGTTCCAATCCGAAGCTTACGATCTACATCAAAATATTCCTAGCCCCGGGTTTTTCAATATCTTTGATCCAAGAAATATGGGCAATTCCGTTCCATTCCGGGGCTCCCGGCCTACAGCAAAATATCTGTAGCCACTCGTCCTTCAATCTCCCTGATTGACCTCGAAATGGGCAATTTTCAGGTGAGAAATAGGCTATCGTATGCCGCCGGCGGCAATTTCAGTAGCCGGCCCCTAAATCGCCTGGACCACACCTCAATCCATGTGGGCAATTTGTCACCGGCGCCTTCCGGCAGTACATACCGATTTCCAGGGGGTAAAGGGGGGAAGAAGATGAAGGGAGGTGAATAGCCTCCGGGTATAAGCCCTGCGGCTTCGAGTCTAGGCCGGAATCCCCCCTCCGATGAGTGATGGACGACAAGGGCCCCGAACGGGGTAATGTCGCGACGTTAGAAAACGCCAAAATGTTTTTCTTTTTTGGTGTTCGGACCATTTGTCACGGGTTTTTGTGGTGTTTTTCAAATTTTTGAGGGTTCCTGGGTTTGATTTGGGTTGTCTAGACGGTGAAAAAGAAAGATAAATTTTAAGTTTCAACCCCTCGATTTTTGAGGAAATTTAGCCGGCATCTTTTTAGAACTACCTTCAATTTTGTCGCTCTTTGAAAACTTGAGTTGTAGTTTTTAGTGTAATTTTCAGTTAAATTTTACATTGTTTTAATTTCAGCGATGTAATTTAAACACATTGCTCGAATACCGAAGCGTTTTGACCACCGGAAATTTTTTAAAGTTGCTACGTTACGTAAAGATCCATAGCCACGTTTTTTTTATAATTTTCATTTTTAAAAGCGCACTCTCTTGAAGGAAACTATTTTCCTAGCATTATCAAGCAAAATGTGATAGTTATATTAATTACTTTAGCATCAAAACCCCCTTCGAAAAACTCACGGCTTCATCCAGGCGTTGCACGGCGGTCGAGGCGTTTTCCAGCGCTGACAAAAATGCTTGGGAAACGCCAAGGCAGGCGAGTTCGGATTCGACGAGTTGGACGAGTTCGGCTGCTCTCCTGGAAAATTTATATAGTTCAGAAGATGAATGGTAATTACAATTAACGCAGTTCAATTGATATTTTTACGCCAGCGGCTTGGCAAAATCGGGAAAATCATACCTCGTAAACGGTGCCTCTTCAACCGCCAAAGCAGTTGGTGTGCTTGGGGCTGTCGACTTTTCCCGTTTCGTGTCCCATTTCTTTAGACAGGCTTCAAAGGCCGGGTTCGGACCAAAAAGCTGGGCCCTGTTCTTATGCTGGATCATTAGGACACCTGGCGGTTGGGACCAGGGCTCGCCGTCGACTTGGACCTGGAAGAAATGGATCAACTAACAAGAAAAATTCTGGGATAATCCCAATACCTTACTGCTTGCTACCTCCCCATATATGAGTCGAAACTATCGCTTTGCTACCGTGAATTGTATCGTAACGTACAGAACAGCACAATTTGCCATACAAGGGTTCGAACGAATTCATGATTTTCAGGGGTCACTTTTATTATTGCGTAATTAGTGCCTTAAAAAAAGCAAAAGCACTTACCGGAAGTGGCTCGTCTCCGATGATGGTGATCTTCACGCTTCTACACTGGGCTAGGCGGTGATTTTGCAACCGGACCATGTTTGGAACTCTCGATGTTGCGACGTGGATAACTCCGAATAGGGCGACGACCTGGAAAAAAATCAATTACACAACGTAATTAAGTAACTTAGCGTATCTTTCCCCTAAAAATATAGAAACGCTAAAAAAGTTTTAGAACCCATCGCGCGTTCCGGATCGATAGTCTACTGCCCACGCGAAACGAGTTAATCGATAACTTCCGAGGTGCACTAATGAAGAATCGGATCGGAAGTCGGCTATGCGGATTCGTTTTTCCTTCTATTTATTTCCCATATTATCGATCCCATCATTACGCTATTTTTATAATTTTTGGTTCGTACGCGCTATTTTTAGAACAAAAACAAATAATTACACCCTTACAAACCAAGTTTTCCACTAGCTTTCGTTTGAACGTAGAATTTATTATCGTAAGCGTACTAGACATTAATATTATTAAGCTCCTTAATTTTAATTCCATTAAACCAACCTCCAATAACTTATCATCGTACGACTGCACTTTAAAGGTATCGTCCCGGGCGTTGCCCCAAAAGTTGGCGCCGCCGGAGTAGGATGGAATATTCAGGATGACGATTCCTTGTAAATTTGGAAGTTCTAGCAGTTTTCCATCACATTCCAGTCTGAAATAGAGCTACAAAAAGTCCATTTTCAGCCTACCGTATCCGCTGCTCCAAATTCTTGTAGGTTCTGTGCATCAGCTCTTTCCCACCCAGCATCCCGTACCAAAATAGGAGTTTCGAGCGGCTTCGTGTCTTAAAAAGGACCGTGAATTGGTTTTATATTTATTAAGGCGCCGGTTATAATTTTTAATACTGAATTTGTAACGGTTTAAGGGGCGATTAATAAAATTTTAATAGATACCTTATCCGGACCGCCTTCTTCCCGTTTATTATGGAAATCGAGCGCGATCTTGGCGTCCAGCCCGATCCCAAAGTAGTTGTTCATCACCTTCAGCTCTTTGAATTGGTCTCTGAAAGCAGAAAAACATAGAATAATTATCAGAACGTAGACGTTTCATATTTTGAACTTAATTTCAAAAGTCTGGCATCCGATTTTTGGCCTTTTTCACTTCAAATTCGTGAGGTAGAAGTTTAAAGCCAGTGAAAGACATATTAATCACGTTGTGAGGCATAAAAAATTAAGTAGATCAATTTAAAAAGCTTTTAACACATTTTTAAAAAGCAAAATACGGCACCTGGTGCCCACTCCATGCCCCGCGTTGGCAAATCCGAGCACTTTGGCGTTGAGGAGCAGGAGTTCGGCGATCAGCGAGGAGCCTCTCATTCCAAGAGGAAAACCATTTCTGAAAGTATTAAGGTTAAAAAGCGAAAAAATCGAAAAAATATGTATTTTTATGAACAGGACAGCATGCATTTTCATAGAAAAAATTTAATAATTTCAAATTCAACACATAAGTCAAATGATCCGTAATTTTTAGGTATGCAGAATTGGCCAAGCATGCCGTTATTTTTCTGGACATGTTAGAATTAAAAATAGGTAATTTTCAACCTAAGATATATCAACAATCTGCGGTACTACTTACCTCTGCGCCGGCGCCTCAGCCACCGATCTCTTCTTGCCCTTTATCCGGTTGTTCCACGCGACAGTCCCTGGTGTTCTAGGCGTCAAAATGGCAGTAGATGTCGACGGTACATCAGTGGAGTGTTCTGAAAAATCTGCGCCATAATATAAACTTAATGTTCAAAGCCTCCTACCATAGATACTGCTATCCGAGTGGCTCATCTTGATCTCGCTGCCCGCCTGGGTGTACAGATGGCCTTCTGAGGAGGGCTTGAAGAGGCGGTCTGGTCTTTCTGGAATGAGCATGAGGTTGAAGTTAACGCTCAATTTAGCTCTCTCTCTCCCTCTCTCTCTTTCTCTCTCTCTCTTCCCCCTCTTTGCCGCTCTCTCTCTATCTCTCACCCTATCCCTCTCTCTCCATACCTATATTTCCATCATCTTCCTCTGGCTCTGGTCGGTCCACCAAATGTTTTGCATCTTTATAGTCTTCTGGCCAGAGGGTGGATTGTTCTCGGGAGTTTGCGGCCGGGGTAGGAGGTTGGATTCCGATGCTAAAAAAAGCTTATTATTGCTTATGAATATCAATATTTCTCTCTTTCTCTATCTCTGCCTATCCCTCTCACTCTCGCTCTCTCTATCGCTCTCTCTACTCTCTCTCTCTCCCTAACCTCATACTCTCCAGCTTCATCGTCAAATGCTCGTGCTCATGCTCATGAGTAGCATCAGTATTCGGGGACCGAGCAAATGACCTATCCGGTGAGTTGCCAAGACCACTGGTATGCCCCTCCTCCTCTTCTCTAACATAAAGATGGTTCTTCTCCGGGGGTTCAGCCTCATTTCTGATCAGCCTCGCCCTGGCCGGCTCTTGGGGGCTAGGTGGGGGCGAAGCGGCGCTGGAGGACGATAGGTTCGAGTTGGATACTTTCAAAGCCGAGGGCGTCGTTTTACTCCGCTTTTTCCGGAATCGCTCTCGTTTTGTGGAGGCCCTAAAAATAAAAATGTATACGATTTAATTTCTACAATTTGATTTTTTTCAAATAAAACCATTTTGGGAGTTTTTGACAGCTACAAAATGCTTAAACTCTTTGAAAACGACGTTTTGCAATTGAGTTTTTTTCACTTTAATAGACTCTGTTCTTGAACGCTATAACGGTTTTTAAAAGCGCAATGACAGCTAGAAAACGACGTACTTGGCATCAGAATAGTTATCGATCCCCCGCTCTGCCACTTCCATCATCTCCCGAAGCGCCTTCTTCAAGCTGTTCGCCCTTCCGACCAGTGATTCTCTTCTCATCCGCTCGTCATCACTGTCTCGTTGACTGAAATTTCAGGATCAAAATTAAACTTTAGTTTAACTCGCAAAAAAGCCAACACGACTTTGTAGAAAACAAACCTCTCATCATCATTGTCCTGCTCAAAACCACTTTCGTCTAATGTCGGCGATTCTGGGAGCTCTTTCATCAGGGAGTCGAGTTTGGCTAGGAAGGTCGAGCATCTACAAAAATGTTGTTTTAGAATTTTCTATCTAGTTATTGCTGTCTCTCACTCCCCTCTCTCTTTCTCTCTCGCCCTCGCTGATAAAACTTACGTCTGAGAAATTGGATCATCAGTCGGGGTCCCGGCTTGTGCTTCCCATTCCTCGACTTGGCCATACGTCGCTGCTACTTTTTCGATCAGCTCCTTGGCGGTGATGCAGAGCTTTCTAAACGGCCGGGTTTCTCATGCTCACTCTATCAATGTCTCTCTCTCTCTGTCTTTCTCTCTTTCTCTCTGTGTCTCTCTCTGTATCCCTCTTTCTTTCGGTCTCTTATCGCTTTTTATGTTCTTCTTGTAACTTACTTCGAGGACTCGATGACCTTCTTCGGCTGCTCGGCACTCAGCACATCTTCAACCCGTTCAGCCAGCCGCTTTTCAAAGTTTCTTACAGCATCGTAGAGCACCTCATCCATTGCATATACACTCCACCTGGAATATCGAGATCAATCTTTGTCACTCGGGTCACTCTCTCTCGTGCGCTCTGTCTCCCTCTCTCTCTCTCTCTCTCTCTCTCTCTCTCTCTCTCTCTTTCTCTCTCTCTCTCTCTCGCTCTCTCCCAACTTACCGATCTAACATCGTTGTATGCGCTCTTTCAAACGTCCGAACAAGTTGAGGTAGTTGGTTGTCATCATAGAAGGCGTGGCCCCAGCCCAGGACTCTTGCTAGGTCATTTCCGGTTCCAAGGGGGAGGATGGCCATGTGACACTGAAACGCTAAGTGTTACAGGTAGAGCGAAGGTATCACCAAAACCCTTTTGAATTTGTCGGCCCTCTCATTAATGCGTTTACCTACCTTTCCAAGCATATTCAACCTGTCGCAGGTGCTCAACACCCAGCCAACAGTCCCGTCCCCGCCACAGACCAGCACCCGAAACGAGTCGAAGCTGTTGAAGAAGGTCAGCGCCGGAGCCGGACCGCTTAGGCAGATGTCAAATACTTGCACCGGGTTCAGTAATCTTCGGAATTTTCGGATCATGCGTTGACCTAAACAAAGTGTTCGATACTTCCGCGAGGTATAGAAGTCATCAAAACGTTCGTGTCATAAATGCATCGCTAGAACATACCTTGATTATCACCGGATTTACTATTCACGAGAACCAGCAACGGGGAGCCGCCTCCACAGTCACCACCGTAGGCGTCGGCTCGTAAGCTCTGAAAATTGGGCTTAATTTGAAAGGTACGCTAACTTCCGGTAGTTTAAGTTATCGTAATCCCATACTTTTCAAGGCTACTACGAATGACGTTAAACATACCACTTGGCCCTCCTTCTCAACGGTTCTGATGGCAAGTGGCGGTAGTACAGATAATGCCCAATTTCCGAGTGAGCACCCTCGAGCCAGTTGGGATAGGCAGGCGTCGTGGACACAACAGGAACACCATAAGCATCGCCAGTCCTGAAATTTAGACGTAGAGCGAGAGAGAGAGAGAGAGAGAGAGAGAGAGAGAGAAAGAGAGAGAGAGCTACGCAAATTACCTGCAACTTCAGCACCGAACCGCAAACTTTCTCGCATACTACGCATTTTGATGACATTGGCAGGTTGCCTTCGACGAATTGATGCGGCATTAGGGTGTTCTAAAATAATAAAATCATTTTTGACCTCGAATGATGCTAATTATCTACCTTGAAAGTTTTCTTCAGATCCTTTTTTGCTTGAAAAATCGCAAATCTGCTGGGAAAAATTAATTGCAAATTTTTGACGCGGGATTAAGTTTTTCGTTAATATTTAGTAAAATTCAATCCGAATAATAATGAATATCAAATAAATCCGGTTAAATAAAAAATACCTTACCTCCGGGTTAACATATTGCAATTGTGGGGGTATACTGGCATCCACGGTCCATTTACAGGGCTCTCGTATCCGCTCGGCGCAGTGCTTATGGGCTTTCACTTTGCATACTGTAATTCGTGGATTTATGTAATTTAGGTAAGATCTATACCTTCACACCCAAGGCCGTGCCACGGCACCCCGCTCAGCTTTCCGCGGCAAAAGTTGCAAAACGTGGGCCGGTGGTGGTTGACAGTGTACCAGTGATGATCGCCGGATGAGGAAGCGATCACGCTGTCCATTGGGGTCTGAAAAAAGTTTTGATGTTTAAAGGGCTGTGGACAGGTGGGTTCGGTCAAGCCTCAATTAGGATTGCCAAAAATTCAACTGATTAAACAATCAAGAGAAAGCAGAGCTGTTTTCACCCTAGCCGCCATCGTTTATGCTAATTGATATCCTGAGCCCTTGAAGAAGGCTTTGGCGTATTTTCATCTACTTTTGAAGGTGGTAAGTTTCGAATTGCGAGAAAAAAACAAAATCGGCCCTTGTGTCGACTGGAAATAGGATAGGGAAAACGCTAAAATATGCTTTTCCTATCCTATAAAGCTTTATGGAAAAGTGAAGATTCTGACGCATTAAATGATTTTTTAACGGGTCGTTTATCTGTCGAGACTCTTGACCTAGTTTAATGAAAGGGTTATTTGTCAAAATTTACAATTTTAAAGGGGCGGTAACAGCCAAAAATCAATTAAACCCATGAAAAAAACATGCTGCGAAATCAGTAATTTTAAAGGACGTCAGATTGGATTTTCTGCTGATGGCAATATTCTGTAACTTCCATGCACCGCCTTACGTTTTTAAAGGGGGTGGTGACAGGACGTAAAACGATTTTAGGAGCAATTTACGAAAATTCAGGCTTGGTTTCGATGGTCTGGATCGAGAGAAAGCTCAAAAATCATAAAGATGATCTTTCGGATACTCCTGGAAATAGCTGTGATTCGTAGTATACCCAAAAAAACCGCTACTTCCGGCTTCGGTGATTGGCTTTGTTTGCAAAAAATCGGGATCTGGCGACAGTTTGTAGCCTCGCGCGGCCACCCACGCCTCGTTTGGGGGAAGGGCACTTTTGCCAATTTTATGCGGCCGATTTCTGACCGGCTATTGGAGCCATTTTGGAATTAGTGCTCCCCGGGGATCCCAGATAAATCAATGTTCAATAAATATTTTTTGCAAGCAGCAGAACACGGGAAAAATAGACTCACAATGCTCGACGTTTCTGCAAAGCCATTTTGGCCGGAGGATTTCGATGTTTCCGGTTCGTCCATCGTTGTGGAGGGGAGGGTTTTAGTAGAGGGAAACTGAAAAATGGTATTTTTGAATCTAAATTTATGACTGCTTTCTCCAAACAATAAGTGTCAAATCTACAGTACTTTCAGAGCTAATTTTTAATTTTTAAGGTAAGCTTTAAATAGCGAAAATATTATTTTTCAAGTCATAAACATTTGCAAATCCAGGCGAGAAAATTTTATACGAATATTTTAGATCACTTTGTCGGCATTACTTTTTGTCAAAATTTAATTGTTTTAATTTTTTTATTTAATTTTATTTTGTTTAAATTGCGTATCTCAATTGTTATACAAACTGTAAAGTCAACGGATCAAAACTTCGATCACGAATTTCGGACAATGTGAAAATTCGAAAAATAATTTTCTACAAACAAAATTTGGACATTTTGATAACAAATAAAGTAAAAACTCACTAAAAACCTGATTAGCCAAGAACCGGCCTTTTGTATAAAACTACAAAAACAAAACAAGCCATTTCCGGCGAAAACCCACCTATGCTACAGTAATCGTCGTCTAGGGTAAGGCTGTGGAGTGTGAAGAGACTGTTCGTTGTTTGGGTCGGAAGGTGGGCGGGAGGGAAAAGACGGATCGACCAAGGGTGCCGCCGCGCATCAGCTCCGTCTAATCATTTTTCGAGCGTGGAAGGGGGTGTAGCCTGGAAAGTTGCGGAATTTAAGGGCCCGGAAAAATAAAAGAGAAACACGAAAAATGAAGTACAAAATGAAAAGCCAAAAATATTAAAGAATATATCTCGAATTCAAAGAAGAGATTTTATCGAAAAAGCGCAAATTTTATGATAAACTGATGAAGGGGAGGTAGGCAACATCAAAACAGCATTGAAAAACGTAGGGAAATTAAGAATTCAAAAAAAACCTTGGACACTGTAACTTGGAAAGTCGCGTAATTTTTTTGAAATGTAAAGATTGCATCACAAAATGCCATTTATGAAAGAAAACATGTCCGATTACTGCATTTTTCATACAAAATCTAGTCATAATCAAAAATCTCAACTTTCAAAAATTCAAAAATTCTGCTCAAATTACCGTAACTCCTCAAATTTTCTAGCTTTTTAAAGGCTCCCGCGCGTAAGGAAATACCCAAAAACATCAGCACCAAAACCCCGTCAACCCGTGTCAGCACACTACGCAAAAATATTCGTTTTTCTGACGCAAATGCACACACACATGGAAGTGTACCCCCGGCGACCCGAAATTCGAGCCAATTTTCGGTGGCCCTGGGGCCCGGGCCCGGAAATTAGCAATCGACGCGTTGCGCTTTCGGGGTCGACGAAAATAGGGAAATGTGTGATTATTTTCAGATAAAATTCAGCGCTTTATAGACGAGAGAGAGAGAGAGAGAGAGAGAGAGAGAGAGTGAGTGAGATATCCGGAAATTCCCCCGGGCCATGCGATCGGCTCATTTTTATAGCGGAAACCGCTGGAAATAGCAATCCAAATTAGATTTTTTGGCCGTATTTTAGGCGATAATGCCCTAATCAAGTTATTTACGTCGGCAATAGGACAAAACTTTTCGTAGATCGCTGGGGAATCGACAGGGGAAAAATAGGGGGATAAGTTCGCCTAATGCGAATCAGGGGTACAGTAGGCTGGAGGCTGCACATGTTAGATTTAGGGGAATTTTTCTATAGTTGGGCGGGAATCGTAAAAAAACGTTAAAAAGCTTGCACGAAATCATACAGACTACAGGGTTTTTTCAAAAGTAATAAGGGTACAATTGGTGCATTAATGAAAGCTGAAGGAAACACGAATTGAGCGAGAGAATGGTACTGGTGTGCTAGCGGGGGGTCCAGAAAAAAAGGCGTAAAAATAAGAGCAAGCCATTTATCGAAATATATTAGGCGAAAAATACAAAGCCAATTTAAAAAAAGACAAAATCCTCTCCCCTGCTAACAGAAAAGTACCAAAAAATGTCTAACCATAAGAAATCCTAATAAAAATCAAAAAGCTAGTTAATATTCTCCATTTTAATATTGAAAACCGTAGAAGCACGCCGAAAACTGCAGCGCTAAGTTGCGAAAAGCGTTACACTACGTTACGCTCCACCAAACTCCCTGCTTCTATGCGTTCGTTGCAAAGAAACTAATTTCGTTGTTTTTCTCCGATAAAACTCAAAGCACGATATCAGCAATGGTCCAAAAAGGCGTGCACGACGTTCCGCAAAAATCGAATCGATACCATCCGCCCTGCCCCGAGCATGGTATGATCAACAGGTCGGCCGGACCACACAGATGATCGTGGTGGGTGCAAACACACACATATAGGGATCATAAAAAGGGAAAAGCTGACGCCTGAACGAATGGAGAGCATCAAACCAGACGGCGGCATGGCTTTAAAGAGACTGGGAAGGCAAAAAGTGCTGATTTTCATACACGGGATCAGGGAAAAAAATTTAGCTACAGCAAACAAGGTTTAAAGAATTGGATTTGCACTTAATTGAACGCTAAATTTTACAAAATTAAGCCAAAACCCGTTCCAGGATTATGAAAAACACAGTATGTAAATTCTTAGGCAGTTTTTGTATGCACGGTATGAAAACGAACCCTTAAATCTGGTTGTAGCAAAAAAAAAATCAGGATTTAAGGACAAGCTTCTAAAAGCGACATCGGATCTAAATAAAAGATGCATGAAAAAAATTAAGTTATATCCTGCTGTAAACAAATTATTAAAAAGTACAAATTGGCTGCAACAGCATTTTGCAAATCGTACAAAACTGTAGCCCTTCAAGGGCCCGAAAAATCAGCGCGCTGGAAGAGCGGCTTTGCGAATCGAAACCTCGGCCGGGCTGGCCGGAACCGGAACCACCCGTTATCACCTTCTTCTGTGCTCGTTTTCAGCCCCTCTAACACACCCCGGGGAAGCCGAGATTTTCGGATTCATGGCCAGCCGAAATGCACTGAAATGGGCGAAAGGGTGGAGGTGCCGCGACTAATTGCCCTGTTTAGGAGGTGATGGCAAGGGAGAGGGAGAGAGAGAGAGAGAGAGAGAGAGAGAGAGAGAGAGAGACAGAGTGAGAAGCGTGTCAAGCGCTTAATGGGGTGTAGATTAGGAATTGATGATGTCTTAACGAAACAATCACGCCCGCGAGGCGTTCAAAGGGCGAAAAAGGGGTGCAGTACCTTGCAAAAACTTTAAAGAGGCTAGCAAGGGACAGAATCCACCCCTTATACCACTAGATATCGACAGTTCTGGAAGCTCCAAAAGAGAAAAGAGCCATACCGGCAGGAAAATCATAATTAACATAATAGTTAAAAATTTATACGTTTTTTGGTGGCTAGCCTAGTAGTCGAGGCCTAGTCGAGAAATGAGGGTAGATTTTCCTCCTTCCACTAGTCTTTTAAAGAGCTAGTGACACCCAAAGGTAATGGTAAAGAAGAGGGTGACTATTAATGCACATACCCATGCCGATCCAACAGAGGGGTAAGCGTGTTGTCTGAGCCTTTTAAAGGGATGGTGACACATCTTTCGCAAACACAAAATAATGCCCTAATCAACCAAATAGCTTAATTAGTCTAATTGCAGGGAGTTGACCACAAAGAAGAATTTATGGGCGTTGTTTGGGAGGAGATAAGGAAGCGCCACAAGGGTTTTTTGGGGTGCGTGTTTCGTTAAAAATCAACGGAATTTACGGGGATTACCAGTTGTTAAGAATCGTTTTTATTGTTTGTACGAGCAAAAATAAGCACCACGGAAATGCAGCTCGTGAAAAAGTTAAAAATTAAATATAATCGCTAAAAGTCATTTTTAACCTAAAAACGATGAAGAGCAAACTAACAGAAATTCATTGCGGAAATCTACACCGTACTTAAAAACTTCTAAAATTATGATGAATTCTCCCACTTTATGACCTGGCCGTTCCCCCACCGAACCTTGGTCGGCGTGTCGTAAAAAAAGTCGTGCAAAAAACCCTTTTTCGCGGCCCACGTAACAATTTTGTAATCGGCTTGTGTGGGCGCGAGGGTCGTTGAGGGTAGTCTGGCCGGAAGTTACAGGCGAATTTACAGCCCAGTTCCGGCCATGCTGGGGGATTTCCAAGGATTTCAGAACGGACCGGAACGAACCTTGCAAATCGCAAAACGTCGAGCAGAGATCATTTTTCAGAAAAAAATTGATTCAGAAAACAAGGAAAACCCGGAAAAATCAATCATGGCGCAGGAAAAATGTTGCGGTATGTCGAAATCATCAATGTCGAAGTTTCATAATGCCGAAATTGAGAATGTAAAAATTTTCATATGCAAATTAGTCAGTAAACCTGCAATTTTTTGCAAAAAATTTCGTCATAGTGAAATTTAGGCAGTTTGACATTATGGTGTTATGATATTTTGGCATTATCGGTTTTAAAAATTATGCATTTTGAAACCATGAAATGAAATCCATATAAATATAATAATCTAATGAACTTAAAGGAAAGCCCAATGCACAATCGTACACGCCATGTAATTCGTGGCATTTAGAAGTTACCAAAACAGTTTTTATCCTTCTTAAATAATTTTAAGATTTTACATAAACTGTCCAAATCCAAATCCGAGAGTTGAGACTAATTGCTATCCAAAAGATTCTTTAGCGTTTTATATACTGTGCCTGTGCAAAATTCTGCCCCTTTATGAAATTGGTGCGTCAACCGAATTAGAAGCCCTGCATTGTCCAGTCGAGATACAGCAGAAAAAATACGGGGAAAAAAGGATAAAAAGCTTAATTGAACCCGAAACCAATCGGAATCGCCGGCGGAGTGTTGCGTACTTCCCCCAAAAGCCGGAAATTCGTTAAAAACGTGAAGAACTTTGGAGGGGGAACTTTGGGCTCATTTGTGACGAAGAAATTTTTGGAAAAATTACCCTCAGAATCTATCGAGTTCGATTTGTTAAATCTGGAAATTCTGCAAACAAAAAATTTGATACTGACTTTTCCAATTTTTATAAAGTTTTAAAATGAGGGAGAGAATGGAAAAATCAACAAAATATC